ATTATTTGTCCAATAATTGGGTCATACTTTTATGGACACAGAGACACGTCACATTTTTTGTCCAATAATTAGAACATTTAAATCATATTATATTTATAACTAAATACAATTTATAATAAACGCAAATAACATATTTGATAATGGATTTAGTTTCAGAAAACATCCATTCTTCCTAAGCATGTATAATAAACTAAAATTTTAATGTTTCTAAGGTTTAAATAAATGATTTCGTTGTGCAATTCCTTAACTGTCCAATAACCGGTACATTTACCTTAAGTGTCGGATATCCGATCTAGTATTCTGTTTTATTATGTGAAAGTGATTTCACATAATTAATGTACAAAATGAATAAAAAGTAAAATAAATAATAACATGAAATTTTATGCTTTGTTTATTGATATAAATGAGAAAAATACAAGTGAAGAAGACTGTATTTGATCAAAGCAGATTTTGATGCATAATAATAATAATATTGTGTAGTAAACTTTTCTGAGATTGTGAAACTTGTAAAACTGAATTTTTTTTTTTCAGTTTACAGTAAGAAAAAGATACAATAAAGTTTATTAACGTTAAATAATTTACAAAAACCATCTTAACTGACGAAGCTGTGGAGTCATATTTGACCCCGGCTATTAGAGGGTTAAAAATCAATTGGTCTGAGTGCATCACGAAATTTCTCCCGGTGCAACTGAAATTGGGTTAGGTCAAGCCGGCTGCGAAAATGATGGTGTGCATGCTGCGAAGTGGAAGTTGATCGCGAGGTCTTCCGTAATCATGCGATGAAACGACGCTGCGCAAAGTATCGGGTTGCGAGAGAAACAGCAGGTTTAATCTTAACCTGTAAACGCGATCAGTTGCATAATCACGACTACCGTTCGCCAACGAAGGTTTAGGGTTGCGAATATAAAAGGCTCGTTGTCGACGCCTTTCTCGTGCCTCTTTGTGCATATACGGTTTCAGTTTTCAACGTTTGACTGCATTGCGATGAAAAAAAGAAAAGAAAAATTATGGAGAAATCTTGTTTTGCCAAATATTATACTAAATTTCTTAGAGTAAAATTCTACTAAAAAAATGGAGTACTTATATACCGATCGCTGCAGTTGGAGTAATTTTTTATTTATATGAAATAACTTCTACTTTGTGTTACGGAGTGAACGTTTTCAGAAATAAATTGCTAACAAAAATCTGCGTACAGAGTTTAACTTTTCGGTTAAGGCCGGTACGTATTTATAGTCCGTTCTTATTTTAATACCGTTTTAAGTATAATGTTTTAAGTGATTCTAATTCACACAGCCTTCTGATTGGCTTACGACATCTTTAAGACTATATTTAAGATAGTATCAAATATAAGAATTGATTATGAATGCCTACTTATATGTCTCCTAATTTTATACTGAAATTACGTGGATTGGTGTTTCACTCGGAACGAATAAAATATTCACTATACAAAAAAACAGTTTTGTTGAAATATTTAAAAATTTGTCAAGATACAGATCTGCAAATAATTTTATTGAACCATCAAAATAATTATGTAAGGCGTTGAAACTGCTCATTAGAATAGCAAAAAAACATTTTTTTTTAAGATAGCATTGCTCATCATGCTTGAGATTTCTAATTATTTAGATGTTCCAACAAAATTTTTAGATCTATATCTAACTAAATTTTTGAATAGGCACTTTCGCAAACTTGTCCTTTTCACGTATATATAGTTGAATTTAAATATTTACTTTTATGAAAAATAAAATGTTATTCTATTTCGAGCAGTAATTTCACTCGTTTTAAGTGAGATTTCACTTTAAGTATGCATTATCTTTTAATAAAAACTCGACTTTTCACGGATGAAAATAGTTCTCGCAACAAATCTCATTTGTATAATACATCGCGACCATTCGTTATCGGCAATATCAACAATTGTGAATGAATATTAACCTTGTCAATCGATGATGATAGTTATACAGAATTGCTATTAGAAATCTAATAATTTTTCAAGATATCGCTGTCGTGTCATAAACTCGCGCGCAAGTATAAGCTGTTCCGATAAAAGTGACGCGGACCACCAAGCACGATGGCACGTGTCATCCGTCAAATTACGAACGACTTAAGCGTTCTTAAGCTGACGGCGCTCGAAAGTTGACGTTATTGACAACTCACAGCCAGACAAGCTGCATTCATATTTATCCGTTTCTTTGCGATCTTAATTATGCCGTGACGGCACGTAAGATAAAAAATAGAAGAGGAAGAAATGTGTTGCAATTCCTGCGCTGACGAGATTTAACTTTTCTAAAGTACGTACTTTATATATATAAATTATAGTTATAACATATTTTACCGCTTTTATATGCGTAACGTTGCAAGTGGGAACTTCGAAAAAATTCTTACTATATGATATACAAATTATTATTATCGTATAATATTATAAAATATGTGATTTTAATTTTTTTTTTTGTACATAAAAGTAATATAGATACTTTGTGGTTGCAATATTTTATTGCTCTTTATGTATGTAACATTGCCGACAAGAGCTTTGAAAAAAAATTTCATGACATGTAAATTATTTTACCGTTATCGCAAACGTCGAATTCGAGATCGTTTATTATGTCGCGGATCAACTATATGCGTAGTGTCTGATTACGCGTGTAGCCTGATAAAGACAAAAATAATTCAATTAGCCAATATACGTTGGGTCGCCCTATAATGCCACATGACACTAATGCGTCCACTTAAAACCGGACCAATTACCGTGATTATTTCTATGCGAGAGACCATTTCGTGCGGGCATCCAATTCCAGAAGTGCGATAACGCGCTTGCTGCGGCCGCATGCATAGAAAAAGAAAAGAAACGCTTGTGTTGTTTATTGCGATGCGTACTTTATATATGTATAAACTTACGCTCGTGTATATGTATAAAATATTGTTATGACTGAAGCCAAGAGAGATAATTTACGCGGATTTGCACGGCTCGATATCTCGGCGACGATCCGTAAATCGTCCTCGCATATTGTTAGCTCTTTCTCGAGACATCTCGCTAATAAATTGTCCGCAATTCAGTTTACACGATTAATGGTACTTTCTCCCGTCGGATAACGTCTTCCTCCTTACGTCGAAGCATCCATCTTGTTCCGGTGAGGCACCAGTGCGCCTCTTTCTACCGGCGGGCGATTTATCTGGCATGCGGCGGGAGCCCACATTTACGAGATCGTTTATCGTTCAATCGATCCGGTCTGCAACTAACGGCTGCGCCGTTAATTTGCTTAATACGTTATCTTGGCAAATTATGCGTCGCAGTAGTTAATAATTATTACCGCCTCATATGCCTCCGATGTACCCGCGTGTGGAATGGCGCGAGTATGAAAGTACGCGAGAAATTTGTCGCACATCGACGAATAAATTTACATACATGTTTTTTTAAATGATATTCTCTTCAAAAGAATTAAAAAGAATTAATTTTGTTAGTTTTTTTTCTTAATAGATGAGATAGTACAGGACTCTTTATGTTCAAAACACAAAAATGTATAAATATAGGGCACGAGTCAAAGAATAAAAATTATAATATATCTATTTTAAAAAACAATAATCATACAAATGACAATATTAACTTTATATATAGACCTACTACATGTTTCGATTTTTTTAAGCTCTTCAGATATAAAAAAATATTATTACAAATAAAATTGAAAGATAGAGGACTCTTTATGTAAAAATAATTAAACTATGATAAATTATGATAAAAAGGCAAATTAAGAATCAAGTTCAAAAAATTAATAATGAACCAGTTAATGACCAACATAATGATAAACATGTAATTGATTGATTAGGCAACAAATACATAAATATTTAAGAATACTTAAAAACTATTTAAAACTACATCAAATCTACTTAAAAATTATTATAGGTCCGGTACACCTGGAAAAAAGCTAACAATAAATCGTAATCTTAATTTGAAGTTGCCATTGATTTCAATACAAGTTCCAACTATCTCAGCCCAAGGTGTGACGTCGACCCATTTACACATTTTTAATAATTTTTAAGTAGATTTTATATAGTTTTAAGTAGTTCTTAAGTATTCTTAAATATATTCACGTATTTGTTAAAGCCTAATCAATTATATGTTTATGGTCATTAACTGGTTCATTATTTATTTTTTTGAACTTGACTCTTAATTTGCCCTTTTATCATTGTTTAATTTAAATATTATTACGCAAAACATAGTCGATGATTTTTGAGACAAAACGGATGAATGTTAAAAACACGGAAATTGTTCGTCAAGCAATTGGTTGACCGAATGAGAAAATGTAAAGAAGATAAAATTATATTGTATATTAATGATATTGAAAACAAACAATAAGACATCTCTCTGGTGAAAGAAACTCATCTCAAAGTCCAAAAAAAAATTGAAAAAATCATGTCAATGATGAAATATTCGTCAATAGTTAGATATTTAAAGTGTGATTTGATGTCAAAGAAAGTAAAAAGAATAATATCAAGTGTGATTTGAAGTCAAAGAAAATAAAAAGAATAATATCACAGTAAGAATGCATAACGTCCGATGTATAAAATTGAAGTAAATTAACAAATGTATAATGTTGAAACAGATAAAAGATAAAATTTATTTGTGTGTGATTTCAAGAAATAACGTTCGAATAAAAAAATTTCATTTAATTTTAAGAAATTACGTTCAAATTAAAGAAACTTTTCTTTAACCGTATAGCAATGCACAAATTTTTTTTATTTAAATACATTTTTAAAAATTGAAGATACTTTTCTCTGAGTTTAAAAACTGCAGCAAAAAAGAAAAAGAAAGGAAAGCTAAACGAAATGAGTTTAAATCTTTAGAGGACGGGAATATTTTTAAAATCTAATTTTTATCGCAGCTTTTCCTTAAGATTTTTTATAATTGATTATATGTCGTTATATTCCTTGCTTCTGACTGTTTTAGCGTCACTATATGGTGACTTTCCAATCCTGTAAAGATTAATAAAAAGAAATTATGATGGACTTACGTAGAAGGAAAGTTCGACGCGGTGAGAGTGCTTCGGCACACAAGTAAGGGCTTCCGATCTGCAGCATCCGGTGTCGTCCGAGCACCTGTGTAATATGGCGCAGTGTGGAATGTAGGTGGTCGATGGGCTCGGATAGACGTCACGAACCGGAATGACTCTCGCGCGTGGCCACTGGCAGCTGCCTTCCTTGTTTACTTTAATTGCATGCTGAAGAGCTTCTCGGATTTCAGCACCTACGGCAAACATTCGCCGATCAAGTACAATCCCGTGAGATTATAGCCGTGAGAATGATAGAACGGAATTGACTAACTCGCTTTCGTAAGTTCAATAAAAAAAAAAATAAGGCTCACGTTATGGTGTCCTCGTTCCAGGTTATACATGACAATTGTACTTATCTCTTAGAAAGCCGATAGTTACACCTACTCGTGACATTTGATTTGCGACACGTTTCTTCACGGTTCTTTCGAACTTGCGGCTTTCCGGATCGTAAATCTTCGAATTTTGAAACCTTCAAACTTTTCCATTCTTATGACATTAAGTTATTAGCTTTCGTAAGTGGCCTTAGAGATTGCGTTAAAGTGGCATTCACTTATATGTTGTAACGAGCCACGAGTAATATCATCTCTTCATGTAACTCATTAATTACTGTCTCGATAAAAAGGAAGGCGAGAGCGGATAAGTCAGATTAAAAAGAAGCCCGTCTTATCGAAACGGATCTTCCGTTAGTCCTCAGATTCGTCTGGTATGCTCGGTTTCTGATAATATACCTCTGCACCGAGGAGAGAAACGAGAATTCGTGATCGAGATCAAGACCGTGAGGCGGCTAGTTTGATCAACGAGCTCGGATGCATCTCCTGCATCAAGTGACATTAGTTACGAGAGCTTTCTATTGATTCAGCACAGAGATAGCTAATCGCTTTCTACGCGCGTTTCACGCGCTGTCGATAATTACGGTGACACCGTCACTCTGTATAATTCGCTTCGGCGCACGGAGAAACTGCATTGTAGCAGAAAATCGGTAAATTCTAGCGCAAATAATAACAGCGGAGAAACGTCAACGGGACGGAAAGGAATTCAAAAGCGGTGTTGAGCCATCTAAGGAAACGATTCACCGTTTGCGAGGTCGCGGGTCACGAGATCACGCTCGCTAAATGATCAAAAGGAGAGAGAAAGCACATTTATTATTCACGCACGTCCACATAACGTTCTCCGCGTCGTTTAACACTCATTTCCGTAGTCGTCTTACATCCAGGATTATTGTGAAATGAAGAAGTCTTGAGATGAGATGACGAAGTGCGAGGTATTTTTAGAGCGAGATATAAAACGTTGAATTACGGATTTACGACTGTTTGCGATGAAACGGCAGCTCGATTCTGCACGGACGATGGTGTTAATCGGATCAAATTCGCCGGTCGTACGAGTACCGTGGATGAGTTGAGGCGCCACATCGTTTTTAATCGAAAATTATTGCGATGCAACGAATACCAGCTGTTTATGCTCGGTAGCGACTTATTCCCCATTAAAGTGTCGTTCGTCATGTCGGATGGTGGATTAATTTATTAGCCGTTGCAGAATTGGTCATGTGGAAGATTGGATATGCTAGAGCTTGGAATCACTTTGGAAAACTATACATAGTCTTTACCGTTGAGAAACTATATGATCTTCGGCCCACCACAGGTAGTAAAGAAGAAATAAAAAAACATGTTATTTTTTGACAAAAAATAGAAAAAGAGAGATTATTTTAACAAGAAGAAACTGATTTATATACACTGAGAGAAATGCCTTGTATTTAATTAAAATTTGATTAGAATAATCAAAATTTTTATTAGAACACAATTTTTTAATTAAAAGATAAGAAATTTTTATAATATTAACCAAATTATGATTATTCATACATTATATTATTATTATTATTATTATTATTTATACATTATTATTCATGCATTATATTGTATGTACTTAGGGAGATCAAAAAAATGTAAGTGAAATAATAGATACTAGAATCTTTTTACGACCGTACAATTGATAAACAATAATAAACAAGAAGAAGGAAGCCAATAACGATCAAAGCTGGATCACAGTGCTTATTGTAAATGTGTGAATTTTATATACTGCATATGTAGTCCCCCCAAAAATCGCGACGCTGATAGTTTTTCAGCATTGACGCATACATACTTACTACCGCAGTAATATCTGCGGTAAACCAGGACGAAACGCCAACTTGTGATATTCTTCGGAATCTTATTTTTCGCAGAATTTAATTTATCATTACTTTAATATTACATCGTTAAAATTTTAATATATGTCTTTCAACATATTATTAAGATCCAATAAGATGCTATAAGCATCAAAAATTGTTAGATTGCTTGTCAATTTAACTAAGTGATATACTACATACGCAGTATATAAAATTCACACAATTATAATAAGCACTGTGATCCAGCTTTGACCGTTACTGGCTTCCTTCTTCTTGAAATAATATATTTGCTGGGTTGAATAACTTTCTGGAAGTAACATTTGTTTTGTGCGCGCATGAGAACTCCAGCCATAAGAGATGATTTCGGTGGAGATTTCGGAAGTGTACTCTTACGGAATTTCTCGCCCGCCTAATCTCAAGGGGCGATCGCGATATGCTAATTTCCAACATAGGCGTTACTTTCGCCAAGAGATCACATCGGCGCGTTCAGAATGGAAGTACGACCATCAGAAATTTTAAAGTATGTGCTCTCAGAACACGTACATCTCATACTATATATTCAAACGTATTTATTCTGGAATATATTATAAAAGAAAAAGATTAAATTCAATCATCTACTATTCTCTAATTTTCCGATCGAGTAAAGTGCGTCGATGTGTAATATTACACGGAAAAAACAATTATAGTTGGATTAATAAGATATATTTGATTAAGCAAATTTTGATGAAAGTAAACAGAATTTTTAATTATTATTGATATTTAATTATAATCGAATATTTTGATTACGTAATCAGAATATTTAGATATGATATCAATTAAAGTTTGGTTAGTATGTTTGTAATAATAATATCCAAGTCTGGTTATTGTGTAACTACAAGAAAAAAGGAGCATAGATTAATGTAACGTATATGATTAAAGACAGTTTTTGATAGACCTAAGCATAATTTCTGATTATCGTAATTAAATAATCTAATAATTTAACCAAAAAAATTTTTATTATTTTTACTAGAATTCATATAACTAAATATTGTTAGTAACTCGGTTACCATAACGAAAATATATGTAGCCTGTCTGGTTATTTTATAAGCCGTCTGGTTATTTACATATACATCTTTAGATTAATTTAACCGATTTTTTTTAGTACATGTATATTTATTATTAACATGGGAGAAAATAGAAAACTGCAAAATTAAGCTTATCTATTATTTACTTTTTCCTTGTGTGGTCGGTTTGGTTAGTTTTGTACAAATTTAAACTCTGACTCATCATGAAAGTATTTGATCAACCGGTGCCACAAAAGTCACAGTAGCCTATCCAATGGGTATATATCATCTCGTAAATATGCGGGATTATGCGAGTCAACGGAATGTGATGTCATCAGTGTGATATATGACGTTATGGTTTCCATGAAAGCTTTACGTATTTTGCATTTATCTTATCGCGGACATCATAATTATAATTTTCTTGTTAAAACAATAAAATTTAATTATAACTTTCCGCTGACACAATGTAGAACTTCGAACGCACACACAATCAATATTTTGAAATTTGTAAATATTATAAAATACAACTCCCGATTTCTATGACGATAAAAATTCTAAAACTTTCACAAGTATGCAAGAATTTTTCCAGATTTTTATACAGTCTGGAACAATATTAAAATTTACGCTAAAGTTCAAAAGATCCAGGTTGCTGGATCAGAAGGTACAAAATTATATACGTTGTCGACGAATAATCAAAAATGAAATAAAATTTTTTAAAACAAAGTAAAATTTTATTTGGTATATGCATATTAAAATTTAGCAGATATTCGGGCGGAAGACGGGAGAAGACGCGACGTCATGCAGAAAGGACGAGAAATTTCATCGGGTATAAGAGGAGATCGGAGTTGCTGTTGAATTCAACTTCGGTGAATGATAATAAATTGATTTCAATCCGCGGGGGCTATGAATCAAGTCCCGGCAATTCCGCGGCACGCACGTGCGCGCATTGATGCACACGGGAGTTCACGCTGCTGCGGTTGCCGCAACCGCCACGGGCACTCGGTCGGGGTGCACAATCGTTGTTATTAATTTACATATTAATAGCCTGCAAACTCCATTACGCTTTTCTCGCAGAAACTCCGTTCTCCATAGCCTACCGAGAGTTGCCCCTGCCGCCCGTTGAACATGAGAATTTTATTCGAAAGGCGATCGCGAGGGAAGAGCCGATCGCGCAATCGGATGTAATTAGCGGCAAAAAGCATTGAAGGATAAATAGAGCCTTGAGAAGACTTTAACCTCGTGATATAATAGGTTTATGTGGCGCAAGTAAGATTAAAAGAAAAACAGAATTAGGAGAAACAGGATTGGTAAGAGAAATATATAAGAGAGACATTATAAGAGTATATATTTATCTTATTTTTTCGAACGTAAATATCGCCTTTTATGGAGGCTGTTTTTATGATAGGTATATGTCTGTCATCCGCTCGCTAATAAGAGAAGCCGATCAGAAGGAAGAGTCATCTTACCGGCTCTCTCTTTCTCTTGTCTTCTCGGGTGTAGATGTGAATGGCGCTTGTGCAATCGCATCGATAGAGAAGGTGCAATGCCTCGAGGCATAAATAGAGGCGTGCGCCTGGGAGTCGTATCGCAATCGTAATATAGCACCGGCAAATTTATATTGCGTATTGCGGCGGGTAATTATAAAAAGCATCGTTACACCAACCAGACGGTCAAAGCGACGCGATATATTACATTCCTATTACAATGTAACATTGCCGATCTTAAAATATGCGCTCTCCTTCGCGTCGAATCGCGGATATGCACGTTGTTGATCACGATCGTGGTTACCAATTGATTTATGCGCGCTGCTTTGGTTTCATAATTGCAGCAGATCGCTATTACATGTGTATGCCTTGATTGCCGCGAACACGTCCGCCGTACATCCCGTGTAACGTACATTAGATAGGTGGATAAGCGTGCTGCGGTTTTGCACAAACATTTGCGTATGACGCACGCACGCGCGATGAAAGGTACGTCGATAATTACCGTGGCATCTCCGACGTACGTGAAATATTACTGTGTTATTAACGTTGATCGAACACCGCCACCAGGAAAGGACCACCGACGTGGTTTCAATAACGATTAATAACTATTTCGGAACGCGCGCGCATCCGGCGGGCTGTTAAAATTAATTGAGGTTAGCAGACGAAAATGTAGAACGGTATTATACATGCATTTGCATAAACCGATTACGAGGAATCGCAATCGCAATCGCGATCGCTTACAAACTACTCTTTTAATATACGCTTCACTGCCCGCATATTTTTTTCATCGATAAAGATGTCGTAGGAAGAAAAACGTCGTGACAGTCATTGAGATGCACTCGACATTCTGAAGCGTACTTACTCTTTCCGTTTTTGTTGTACTGCTGCATGTTGCTCCTGGTCTCTTTGACGCCCTCGCGAGTGCCAAGCGACTGCCACTTGTGAACACTGTGAGCAGACATTGGCGGATAATCGTTTTTCGCTTGGTACCCGTTGTATTGAGCTCCAGTGCCGCTGTCGTAGGCTCTCGGGTCTTTGTAATTGTAATGCTGGTTGAGCGACGGCTTCGGCGTCGTCGTAGTTGTAGTAGTCGAAGTGGTGAAGGCATCGGTTTCATCCTCTTCGCCATTGTCGTCATCTGTATAATCCTGCACATGTAATAGTTCAGCGTGATTTTGGGAACTAAGAGCCAGTTGTCTCATCTTCAGATAAACTATATGGTACTTCACTTATTAGATAAACAGAAGAGTAAATAAGTAAGAACATAAGAGCGTAAGAGAGTAAGACAGTGAGTTGAAATTTATCGAAGGTAAAACAACTTGAACTAAATATAGTATAAATTAGTTACAATATATATAAATATTTGTAACTATAAAAAACAAATTATATAAAAGAATTCTCGTTAATGCATAGATTTATTGTAGATTATGACAAGAAAAGAATGATTTTGCTGAAGTATTTTAAACTTTAACTAATTGTAAGTCTAAGTATTTAATTGTAACAGATCGAAAAATAATTTTATCGAATTATTAATAATTATGTAGAACGCTCAAACTGATAGCTGGAATATCAAAATTTCTTGCAACATTGTTATTATGTTTGCTCATTATATATTTCCTACATAATTATTTTGACAGTTCAACGAAATTATTTTCAGATTTGTATCTGGCAAAATTTTTACATATTTCAGTAAAATCATTCTTTCCATACTTGCTTTTGTTGGTAGTAATTGAAAAGAAAACGAAATATTACGAGGTCGAATATGTGCGATAAGAAAAAATTAATTTTTTATATAAAACAAGAGGGAGACATCGATGATTTGTATAAAAATTCATCAGAGAGATGATCTCGCATTTGTTTGTGGGTGGTCAACACGCCCTTGTGAATCTTCGGCAGATTTTTTCTCGGAGATAAGTTTAATAGACAAATTTGCATCTCTCCGCGTCGCGCGTGCACCTTCTCCTGCCTCATCTTGGCCGATCCGCGAGCTCAAAGAAAACGGGAACCTACTTAATCGCAACCGTCTGCAACATCTGGAGTCTTTGATGTCACACCGCGTAGTAGAAACAATCCTCGCGAATGCGTGCCCTGAATCCAGGAAGTATTTTATTTGGCGGGGATCTCGATTCCGCACGCGTCTTCGTTTTATCGACGGATCGCTCGAACGTCCCAGAAATTTAGACGAGGACCACATTGACGAAACGGAATTAAAAACTTACGAAAATAGAATTCAATTTACTTAGGCTATGAAACTTAAGAGATTATGACAGCAATACGTTATTAAAAATAAAATGTTAATTTTAATTCAAAAACGTATAGACTTTCTGAGATACGCAAAAATGGTAAAATTAACATTTTTGTCAATTTTAACATACGTTTACATGTTTTAGAAAGTCCGCTATACGTTTTTAAGTTAAAAATTAACATTTTATTTTTTATACTAGTGTATTTGTGAAATTCTTTTTTCTTCTTAACTTAATTATTTTGGCCTTATTATTTTTGTAAAAAGAGATATGATTCGTGTTTTGGTCGCCAAAAGGTTTCGATTTCTATTGATAGTGAGAAACTATGTGAAGCGAGATGAGAATTTAACGCGAATGAATTAATCTGTCTCTTGAATGAATAGCGTGTACAAAGCAGCCTTTATTACTCGACAATTGATGAATCGAACGTTACGCAAACGTTTACCGTGTTTATCGTGTTCCAATCGTGATCGAACCGTACCTATCGATTGAGATGTCGACTTCTATAAAGTCGTATACTTCTATAAAGTTCTATAAAGTATATTTTTTCTATAAAGGGATTTATTTCACTAATGGAGAACACACACTTTCTACGAATGTCGAAGGCTCCTTGCACCGTGCTTGAGTTAATGAACCAACGGACAGTAAGGATTTTACAAACGCTCCTTTGTTCCTAGTAACCTTCGTGAGTTGCGCAACATGTGGCTTATACAATGAAAGATCATCCATTTTAAAATTTTTCTTGGAGATAAATGATCCGCATAGTCATTTAGGTTTATCGAACCCGAACTCAATACTTTGGATATCTAAATACATTTACACATGTGCATACGTGTATTGTGAAGATCAATAAATAAAAAGAAGATACATTCTAATTTTAAGGAACACAAAATAAAAATTAGATCCATATATTTGATAGGTGAAGTAGAATAGCAAAAGTTAAAACCTGTTTTTTATTTATATCTCTTAACTTAAAAAAAGTTTCACAATTGTAATGCATCTACCATTGAAAATTAATGTGCAAAACAATATATGTAAACAGCGTGAACGATTTTATTATAACGTACTATAATTGCATGATGTTATGATTAAGTAAAATTTAAAAAAATCTTTAAATTCTCTCTCTCTGTCAGGAAAATTTGTTCAATTATTTTAAAAAGAATAAAAGAAACAAAAATTAAATCCATATATATTGCGTATATTTTTTTACAGAAAAGGTAAAATATCAAAAACAACTTATTTTTATATACCTCTAAATTTAAAAAAAGTTTCAAACTTTCTTTTGCATATACCGTTGTGTAAAGAAAATTAATATATAAAACGATATACATGCGTGAATAACATGGATATTTTTATTATAGTGTATTATTATTGTATTTGGTATTGTTATTGATTAATTTCTTTAAAAATCTTGAAAACTTATTTTCTATTTATACCTTTTCATTTAAAAAAGTTTTAAAATTAAATCGTTGAAAATTAATATGCATAATAATGTACATAAAATGATCAACTTTATTATGATATGTTATTCCTAAAAAAATCTTCAGAATATCGTGAAGATTTATTAGGTACTTCGTATTCCAATTGAATATCTTTGTTAATTTAAAATGGTAAAAGTGGAAATATGAAATCATGCTAAAGGAAAAATTTATTCTACTAACTCTTTGTTATTCAAAGAGCAGTCATGCAGCCGGGCGATGGCGGCTTATTTCAACTTGGGTTTTACGAGACATCAGAATAGAAACTGTGTGGGGACTCGAAGATTTACCATAAAAGATCTGCCAGACGCTTTGATCTCGGCTTGCAGAAAGCGGATTAGACCGTCGATAAATTTAAATATATCAGGTTTATCCCAATGTGTGTGTCTCGCTATCGTTAACGATCCCGAAGGAATCAGGGTCGGTGAAAGGTCAGCCGGTCCTCGGTTTAAAAATGGGCTCGCGGTTCTTCTGAATCTCACCTTCAGATATGACTCTGGTGCCATCTGCGAAAATCAAGTTTTTAATTTCCGAATCTCTCGTCAGAATATTTACCGTTTACTCTCTGTAGATTTTTGTTTTCAACATAGTGTTTTTAATCTTATCTGAAAACCCTGTAACAGAATATGGCCACGAGCATTCTGCATATAATCTTAATTGAGACTACAAAGTAACGTAGTAATAATAAGTTAAATAAAATTAAATAGTATGTACTACGACGTTATTCTCACAGTACCTACTATGTATATAGAAAAACTATATGGTACATATTATATAGCCTTTCTATATAGATACATACTACTTAATTTTAATTGTCTTACTTTGTAACATTATAGAGTAAGATAGAATATATTATATATATATATGTATATATATACATATATACACACCTTTTTCTTTCGTAGGATTTTGACAAAATTATCCGTATTTTTGTTATAGAATCTCTAATCTTATCTATATCTCGAAATATTTATTTATCTAATAATTATTTAATACAAATTTTATGCATCTGACTTCATCTGCGATTATCAAAGTTACAGATACAGTCTGTTCAATAAGAGCATACGGTTCCACACTTCATTAATAGAGATGTACAGATGTTAAGTTTGGTTTTTCCGATTCTCTGAACAGTTCGGAAGAATGCTTTGAGATTATATGGGTAATGTGACTTGTTTTGACTGTAACAGAGCAAATAACCACAATGAGTGCTGCGTATGTATGTAAGTCGTTTTGAAGCAGTGTTCCTTTGCACACATCCGAAAGAACCGAAAATGTCGTATGCAGTTGCTGGGCGCTACATGAAAAAGTCAGAAGGATTCGTCAGGAAGTGGGTAAAACGTTACAACGAAACAAAAAATGTCGACGACTTGCCGGAACGTGGCACGAAAAAGGACGACAAAAGCTATCATCAAGATATTTGAGAAGAATCCTGGGTGTTCAATACGACAAGCGAAAAATCTTTTATTGAAAAAGGATAATAGATGTGAGCCTTAATACTATTAGACAACGATTGCTTAATTCCGAATACGGTTGGCGATCTATAAAGTTAAAACCTTTTTTAAGTGAAAAACACGTCGAAAAACGGCTGGAGTGGGCAAAGGCTAATATTAACCGTGATTTTGCCAATGTAATCTTTACCGATGAATCATCCTTTTGGGCCTGGATTCCCAGAAGGTATGCGTGGTCAACTCATCACGAACCCGTTGTTCAACGTATAGTAAAACACCCAGTGAAAGTACACGTATGGGGATGTTTCTGTAAACAAGAATTTGGTACTTTCCGTCTTTTCACAGACAAATCTGAATGCACAGAAAATGAATATGATTTATCATAAATGTTTATTAAAGTCTGCTCGAAGATGGTTTAGCTCAGATAATAGTTCATGGATGCTTCAAGAGGACAATGACTAGGGTGGCCAACCGTCCCGAATTTTGCGGGAAGTCCCGATTTTCGACTCTTTTAAAGGCGTCCCGAAAGAACCCTGAGCGGGACGATATTTGTCCCGATTTTAGTGATATCACACGCCACAGTCCACACTGCAAATTGTTGTCATCGACGTCACCGTCATCAGTGTCGTCAGTGACGAGACAGATATTTATCAAGAATTTTACAAATATGTTCGAGAGAATAAGAATATGTTGAAATGTACAAAGTCACAAAAAAAATATTGTTTTAAGCTTTAAAGTATTGTATTTCAAACATATTGTTATGTTTTGTTGTGATATTTAATTTCATGTCATTTAATTTTATAAATACATTTCATAAATAAGAATAAATTTAATAATATATATATTTTATTTATTGAATGATAGTTAATAAAGGGATCACGTATTGCGTTATATATTACAAGGTGCCTTCGTAACGTTTTGTAATTTTTTTCTTTCTTTCCCTCTCTTTTTTTTTACTTATAACCTTGTGTCCCGAATT